TTTATGAGTTTTCCGTTCAGTCGGAGTTCAACTTTGTCCGCTTTATGACCGGCGATTTTTCGCATCGGTTCACTCCCTACCTGACAGGGGGCATTGGTGCCTTCTATTACAATCCTTATACCACATTTAATGACAAGCGGTACAATCTCCGGAACATAGGTACGGAAGGACAAAATACCGGTATGTATGACGACCGGAAATACAGCCACTTTTCACTTTGCTTCCCCCTGGGTGTGGGTGTTAAATGGTGGATGCGCCCCGGTATGAACCTGGGCTTTGAAATTTCCAACCGGCTTACGCTTACCGATTATATGGACGATGTGAGCAATACTTATGTAGGCGAACAATATTTCCCGAATGATGATCCGTTAACACCTAACCCGGGCTTTTACCTGCAAGACCGCTCGGGCCAGGAAGGTACCGCGAAGCTGGGGCGCGAGGGAAAGCAGCGAGGTAACAACACCACAAAAGACCAGTATATGTTTTTTGTGATCAATCTTTCGTTCCAGCTAAAGGTCTACAAATGCCCGTCTTATTTAGAGCGTGCCGTGCTGGACTAAAACGTTTTTCGTGTTCCTGCAAAGCAAGGGATTTTGCTTACAGGTCTATCCGGCAATTGATCCATTCATCATCAAACCGGGTTTCATACTTTTTATAAAAATGAATTGCCGGCTCGTTCCAGTTAAGTACTTGCCAGCTAATGCCTTGCAGCTGTTTCTTTACCGCTTCTGCTTTCAGTGCATCCATTAGCAATGCACCGATACCCTTGCCACGCCATTGTTCTGTTATCAGAAGGTCTTCCAGGTACATCCGCTGCCCTTTCCAGGTGGAATAGCGGATATAGTATAGCGCAAAGCCAACAACCTCCTGACCCGCGCAGGCGACCAGTGCCCACCAGACAGGCTTTTCACCAAATCCGCTTTCCTCAAAATGAGGCAGGGTAACGGTTACGTCATCAGGTGCTTTTTCATAAACGGCCAATTCATGGACCAGTTCCAACATACGCGGGCAATCTTCCCTGACGGCGGCACGGATCACTATTGTGGGGCTAGACATACAGTTAATCTGGTTGAATAATAGTAA